GCTTTTTTGACTTTTTTTGTGAGAGAGGAGTATAATGATTATGGGTTGGATTTGATGTTTTATTTTTTGTGGCTATTTTAGCCCCTAACCCACCAAAACCAACTTCCCAAACTATGCCTTAATATTTTTAGTTTTGATTTGATTTGGATACAGTTGTATAACTTTTAGATATTTTTGTGCAATAAAGGCTTTATTCAAATCATGTTATACAATGATTTTTATTGTTGTATATTAGAATTGTTAGACGAGTCATATCTAATAAGACGAGTCGTGCATCAAATCGTAGTTTAGTGGTGACGATCCATGCTAAGCAAAGATGATTCGTGGCTTTTTGATTTTGATATACAAATTCTCCTGACGATGAATTTCTGATCAACTTACATCACAGTATCCAAATCAATGATTTTCTAAAGATTGAGTACAATTACTACCAATTATAAGGTTAGTGGTGGATTCGAAATCCTAAGATATTTATTTCATTTCGTTTAATTAATTACTTAATTAATTAGTTTAATTTTCACTCCAAATATTCACAAACAAATTTAAATTTTTAAATTAAATTATTCATCATTAGTTCCTGTAGATCGACACCTGATCTTAACCGCTATTCTGCATAATAGTTATTTTTACTTAGTTTTAAATATAATATTTAAATGTGCAAACCACCATATCAATTTGTGGTGTTTGTGTTTTACAAGAATCCCTAATTAGCCCATAATTTATTTATTTGTTTATTGTTTTGAATTAATCTATTTAGGGGTGTTTTTGAAATTTGGTTAAAAGTTGGCTTTTTAGCTTCTTTTTTTTTGTGGCTTTTTTGTCCTTTTGTTTGTAAAAATATGAGATGTAATGTGACTTAAAATGAGTTAAAAGCTAAAAGTTAGCTTTTGTTTGATCAACTATGAAGGTGATTATATTGAAATGGTCATTTTTTATATGCTTTTAAATGGTGAGCGTTGATTCTATTAACAATGTATTTTTTAGCAAATTAAATATAAGTATGAATATTTTGATGAAATGATAATTTCATTTCATTTTATTCTAATAAATTAAACATAAATATTAATGGATACTTTTAATTATAAAAATTTTAAAAAAGAAAAAGAAGAAGAAAAAGAAAAAGAAGAAGAAGAAGAAGAATATAGTACATGCAGTAGCTAAGATAATGACCCATCCTAGAAAAATAAAAAGGGAAAGAAGGTTGCCATCACACATTGTTATGCGTTTGAGATATGGAAAATGGGTGAGAACACTAATTAGTGCTACCATTAATGATGTGGCAGTGGGTCCCACCATGAATGATTTGATGTTTTGGCCTTGGTGTTGTATTTTTTTTCTTTTTTTATTGAGTGCCATGTCATTAGTGATCTTTTTAGAGCTCCAAAATTAATAGTCTCTATCATTGTTGTTGAGATATATTCTTACCTTCAAATAAGTTTAGTTTGCTTCCAAGCAACACACACACACACAAATATATATATATATATATATATGCAACACAAAAATAGGTTGGCGATATAGTGATAGATGAAATTTAAAGTAAGAATGTATATTTGGATAGAAAAATGCTAGAGGTTCCAAATATTTTACCAACATTTCTATCAAATGTCTTACATGAATGTAGGAATCACACCATGTGAATTTCATGTAGATCTTACACCATGTAAGACATTTGATAAAAATATTAGTGAAATATTTGGAATCCCTACTCATTCAGATATCCAAAACATTTGACACAACCTAACGAGAAGCCAATCCCTAAATTAATAGCCTTGCACCAATTAACCCATAAAACTAATACATCCTATCACCTATTTTTTTTGGAGGTTAAGATCAGCAAATCGTGTAATTTAAAAAAAAAAAAAAATTGTTGATAAATCCAGTTCTAATAAAGTGTATGCCATTAAATTCAATGATTGTTTTGTTAAAGTTGTAAGAACATAATTAATGAAATTGTTTGCTGAAAACGATAAATTATTGTTTCAAAATTCTTTTCATTTTTATCTATTGTTGCTCGTCACTGAAAAAGTTGCTGAAGGTGGCCAATGATAGCAACTGGTGGTAGGGGTGAACATTCGTCGAGCCGGACAAACACTATATAATAAGGGATTTTGTATTTGCCCAAACCTGGCCCGACCCTAACATCAGGCCTTTACATCTGCCCAAGTCCGGCCCAAAAAATAATTATAAATCCCAACCCCAACCATCGGGTTATATGTTAAAAAAAATAAAATATTTCATAATTAAATTTAATCACACATTATATTTCTTAAATAAATATGGACAAAACATCAATAAATCTCAAATTTAAATATGTTGAACTATTTAGTCCCACTTTTTAATTTGTTGATTGAATTGTCTCATTTAAGTGTTAATTACCGAGGAGCCAATTATTTTTGGACATGACTTGTTTTTATTCGGGGGTAAATGTGGTTTTTTTTTTTTTGTGATGTTGGAGTTGCAAATTTGCCCAAAAGTATATTATAGCGTTTTTTCGGTTTTCCCTCCATTCCCCAAAAAATGGACGAGATAGAAAAGAAGATTCTGGGTTAATGTTGCAATGTCAGTGGTTGGACCCTCATTTTGGGAGATTGAAGAATCTGTTTTGGTAATGTTTGTACTTGAAAATTCATTCGCGAACTAACGTTGTACATAACCCACAGAAACCCTAGAAAACAAAGAACCCCTTTGTAGCCCATTTGTGGAGACGAGTCGGCGTGGGTACTGAGGGTTCTGAGCTTTTGATCGTCCGTGTTGCCATAACATTAGCGAGCTAAGATCATTCGTCGGTTGGCGTGCGGGTGGTCGCCATTTTGCGATGGCAACAGGTATGTTATTGTTCGATCTTGATTTGTCTGTGTGTGATTTAATCCAACATTGTGGCTTTATTATGTTTGAAATGGTGGAATGTATGTTGATTGGGATGATGTTAGTTTGTAATCTAATTGAATAGAAAAGGATCAATTTTGATTGGGGACGTAAGGTGCAATGTTGTGTTCACGGACTGAATGAACTGTAATGTTAATGTAATTGGTCTTTACGATACTCTGTATTGGGGGAATATGGGGGTTGGGTTGATGGTAATTGTCGATTAAGGTGTATTGGTAATGTATTTATTTTTTTGGTTTGGATTCTGTGGTGTTGGTGTTGTCGGTGGGTGGTAGTATCCAATGTTTGATTGGTTTTAATGTTGGATTGTGGACATGGTGTGGATAGTGTTGCTGAGGGTGTGTGTTGTTAATGTGTGGATGATGTGGTTGGTGTGTAATGTTAGTGTGTTATGAGTTTGTGTAAGGTACGTGCCATGGTGGGATGTATGATGATAGTGAATGTGGTTGAATACGTCGACTGATGATTTTTATGGTGTATGTCACCATAACAGACAACACACACCACAAACCCACAAAATTGGATAATTGAACTACTGAAGTACTGATGTAAATAGTGAATTATATATATGAAGGAGAGTCCCTAGTACATTGAGAAATCAAAAAATGTAAAGAAAATGATAGTTGCATATTACCATAGCACAAGAATCTTGAATGCAAAATGTTAGGCGATGCTCGGTTTTACTTGTGTTTGTCAACGTTGATGACTAAATTTGGGAATGGTATGTTGTACGAATGCAATTGACTACATTGTGGTATTCTTGATTTTGTTGGTAAAATGTACTTTACAAATGAGGAAAAAAATTTTGGTTTATTATTTGCAAAATGAACGCTATGATATTGACTGAATGGGTATGTATAACATTGGGAGGGTATGTCAGGCAGGGATCATTAAGTGTGACCAACAAAAAATTTGAACAACGGGTTATGATTAACATCATGTACGCATGGTGTGTGTGGATAATGATGGTTGGTGCGTATTGTTTTGGTGGTATGATTTTGTGACAAGTACGTCATGTTATGCAATGTGTTATGTTAGTGCATTTGTTGTCACATAATAAGGTTTTGGAAGTTGCTGATTATGTTAGGTAATGAATTGCGTGGTGTACTACGAAGTATTGATGTTGTGATTGTTTCCCCTGTGCAGGTGTTTCCAGCTATCAAATTGGAGGGCGTAAACAGTATGGGGGTAAACCACGTTCACGTCCCACACCACAGTCTTCAACACGATTGGCCATGAGAAGGCAAGGGAAGCTGCCTTTCAAAAAGACGAAGACAGTGACCAGATCTGTCAAGAAACCTGTTGTTGACCCCGAGAAGGCAGGATGTGATGAGGAACCGAAGTGCTATTTTGCGGGCAAAGTACTTGAGTGTGAACTTGAAAGCTGCAAAAGGTCACAGATACACACATTACCCAGGATACCGTTCAAACCATTAGACTATCATGGTGCACGACTCGGAGACCGGCATATGAAAACACTATAAGTCTGTGAGACCGAGACGAGGGATGCGGGATGACCATTATAACGAAGTGCTTAAATTGGTAAGAATGTGACATAACTTAACGTGTGAACACATACGAAAATTTATTACTCATCTCGCGTCATTGGGGCCTGTTTTTTTGTGTGCATATGGTGTTGTGGGTTCTGGTGTTGTGGTATGTGATGCGTGTTATGGTTGAATATATATATGTCATTCATTTTGCAGAAACAGTGGGTGGTGGATCACCACACAAATTTTGTGAAACCAATGCTTGCATCCGATAATGTGAAGAAGCCGGAGTTTGATGGGCCGCTCTTTCTGGTTATGGATTGCCCACAATAGAGTCCCGATGCGTAAGTATTGACTATAGTTTTGGTCAATGTTTCAGTATTCCCCATAAAGACTGTATTCGTGATCTTATTTTTGGTGCCAAAGCTAGAAGAATTGAATTTCTTCCTCCTCTATACACCCCACAATATTCTACACTGCACCATTATTATATTAAAATAAGTCCAATGGAGTGGCAGTACACTTCTCACAAATATTTTAATTTGCTAATTAGCGTATACTTAAGAGTTACTCTTAGGCCTATCAGCGGTTTGGCATAATCCGAATCTAATCAGATTATAAAATAATTTAAACATCTGATTAGATTATGAAAAATCTAACATGAGGTAATTTGAATCCAGATTTGTATTCGGGTTATTAGAGTGAGTTAGTGTGTGCTTTGCAATTAATGTATCTATGATGCATCCTTGGTGTTCACCATGCTTTAAACTATTATATATTTCACTCTTTATTTTTGGATCCATCACATGCAAATGTAATTACATTGAAGCTCCCTCTATGTAACTCGTTTTATAAAAAAATATTTATTTATTTATTTTTTATGGCCATTGTTTCTTGATAAATTCACTGCCCTTCCAATTTCATCCTATGCATCCTTGGTGTTCACCATGCTTTAAACTATTATATATTTCACTCTTTATTTTTGGATCCATCACATGCATATGTAATTACATTGAAGCTCCCTCTATGTAACTCTTTTTATAAAAAAATATTTATTTATTTTTTTTTTTATGGCCATTGTTTCTTGATAAATTCACTGCCCTTCCAATTTCATCCTCTCTTAAACTTCCAAATTTTATGCCCCATTGTTTTTTTCGGACCTTTTCTGCTCCTAGAGAAGAATGTACAGAATATCAAGCACTAGTCGATTCTCCGATGAATTTTCGGTCAACTTGTCACTGGCTATGAAATCTCCAGCTACTGATGATGATGACCTGCTGCAGCCCGTGTCTGATCATTGGATTTCGGATGGCAACAAGAAGGTAGTCCCTTCTCCTTCTCAGCAGCAGCAGCACAAGAAGTCTTCAGGGGAGAATGTTATTCACCTCATTCCACTTTTTCTGCTTCTTTGTGCTTTGATTCTTTGGTGGTTCTCTGTTCCTCTTAATAAAATGTAATCACCTCTCAAACAACCTAACCTAACCAAGCAACTTCTTTTGTTTTTCCCCTCTGTTATTGTCGTTGTGTTGGAATGAATTTATCTTTTTCTTTTTATTGTATCATGATATATCAATGTTCCATTGTTTGGGCTGTTGTTTCTGAATGATTGAAGTCAGAAGATACTTGAAACGTATTTTTTAGTAGAACACATCTTTTTATGAATCTTTAATTTTTAATTTTAATTTTGTGTGCAGAAAACATTTTCCTATGTTTGATTATATCCTGAAAACTAATGTACTACTAGTGGTTATATTAATGGTGGTGGGGTGGTGATAGCTGTGGGATGGAGTTGGCGGTGGTTGTGGTGTGGTGGTAGGGGATGGAGGTGGTGGTGATGACGGTGATGGTGGCATTAGTAAAATTTTATTTAAAAAGTTGCTTTTCATCTTTAAAAAGTGAAAATCTTTTCGCTCAATTAAATTTATTTTTTATTAATCATTTTGTTTTCCATTTTTGAAAAACATTTTAATGAAGTAGAGCACTCATTTTTATGAGTTCTGCTCTAGGTAATTTTCATTTTGGGATGTTGGAAATGCGCAAGAAATTGGCATACTCTGCTCTAAAAAGAGAAAGAAAAACACTTTGCTTGCAATTGTTTTTCAACTATGCTATAATCACACACACATGGGTATGTAAGTGGTTTGTTGTTATGATCTCGCAATGATATTTTTATAATTATGAACAATATTAATGAGTTTTTTGACTTTTAATAAATAAATATAAAAGAAAAAATATATTGTACCTCATTAAATTATCATTTAGTATTACTTTTATCACATCAATTAAAAATTGTTACATTTTGTCACTTTTAAATATCAATTTGTATCAATATATGTGACTTTTTCTTAAGAATTCGTTATATAAATGGATGAAAATTATGTGAAATCCTTAAAATGACTTTATTTTTCTCTTCTCCCTTAGTCTTTCTCTTTCTCTCATTTTTCATATCCAGGTCAGCAACTATGCCAACGTATACTATGACTGGCATGATTCTTGTCGTGGGTAGAAGAAAAGAGTGAAAAAGAAAAAAAGAAAAAGAAAACAAGAGGTCATCTTAAGCATTTTGCAACATTTGAAATATCTTGTGGAAGACACATCAATTTTTTTCATTCATTTGTGTAAAAGGATCATTAACAAAACGTTCACATTGATATAGGTTAGTAATTCAAGGTGACAAAGTGTAATGTATTTTAATTGATGAGGTAAAATAATAATAAATGATAATTTAAGATTGTAAACAATTAATTAATATATATATATATATACACAATCAATAGAATTGGGAAAGGAAAGGAAACAATGAAATAAATCTCCCAACCCCTTTCTTGTGTTTGTTAGGCTTTTTTTGGTTGATCATTTGTTTGTAACTTTGTACACAAGAAGGATCATCCTCACTTTAGAGTATGGCCCTGTACCTTAATGGTGAGGGCTACAAGCACCCTTTGCCCAATGGGGGCGAAGGGGGTAATCTATATGTTTATTTTGAAATAAATTGTATAGTGCATATTTAAAGTTAATGAAACTTGAAATAATTGTGATCAATAGATATATTTTTTAAAGTAATTTTTATGAATATGCAATATTGTTGTTGATAATGGTTCTTAAAGGATCATTCTATCTATGTCCGATTATTTACCGATCCGCAATTGGGTAGGAAATAATTGTGGTGATTCACATAGTTTATTGGATTTTTTGACACTATTTGAAATTGGTAATATCATAGAATTAAAGTCAGAATTAATAATATGTGTTGGCATGAGCTGTATATAAGATTTAGATTAATTGATTCTAGATATGTTTAGATTCCTTTAGAATAGGACTGATTTATTTAGTTTCCTTCAAAATAGGTTTGTTTCCTTATTTACAGGATGTAACTTGTATCTATATATATTGTCTTACTGTTGAGGAATAAAACAATATACTGAAACCATTAGTTTACATGGTATCAGAGCATCACCGATCCTACGGCACTCGGTAATCAACCATCTGCTAAGTTTTCTTCCATACCACCATCAATCTGGTGTGAGTCCAAATGGATGTCACTCCAGGCGTATCAACCCCTCTTGCTTTGAGTCCTTTATTAGCTAGTGATTGTCAAGGTGTTGGATCCTTGCATAGGGCTGTTTTGTAATCTCTTTTCGGGCTTAGGCCCCCATTAATACCAATATATATATGAGATTAGCATTACCGATTCTATTTATTTCATGAAGTTTATTGTAAGTTGAAAATTAATAAAAAAGTAGAAGTTAAAAAGCACCCTCAAATTTTAGATAATCAATTTTTTTATGGCTTATTTAAGTTATTTTTACCTAATAAGCTATATGAGATGGGTTCTTGGAAGCTCACTAGAAATGGTGATTTTGTCGGGAAAGTCACCGAAAAAGATGAACTTCACTGGAAAAAATGATTTCATTTGGAACTGGAAAAGAAGAGGCTAGAGATTTGTTGACAATCAAACTAGATTCAAGAAGAAATGGAGAGAAATGGTGGATGGGTGAAAGATCAAAGCAAGCAAGCTAGAGAGAGAGAGAGAGCATCCCATAGAATTCCACTTTCATTCTTCATTCCAACTTTCCAGATTTTTGCTACTGTGTTGGTTCTTCTATGAAGAGCTATGGGTGAGTGTATATATATGTACGCCCAAAATTGGCTTGATAACCAAACAATTGGCAATTCTGGATTTGGTGATAATTGTGGTGAGGTTCTCCAAACTAGAACTAAGAATGACAGATTTGATCTCATTGCAGCCCTCATGCCCAGTTTCATCAAAGCTGTTAATTGATAAAATTTTTATTCCTTGTCCTGTGAATCTGTACTTTCCTACGAAAATAAGATGTATTTTTTGAAAAAATGAGCAACGTCATTAGCACCATTACTCATACCAAAATTTCATAGTGACAACTAGAATAATTTTTTGTTAAGTTGTAAGGTCCGACCTTGGTTTCAACAATGCCCAACAGGTCAATTTAATTATTAGCTAAGCGTTTATAGATACTATATGTTGTTTAGAGGGGTGATTCATGAAACCTTCCCTGTCTTTTTTCCCTTTCAGAGTCTACAATCTGAAACAGCCCTAAGACCTTTGCTAGCTCAGAGGAACCAAATATGACAGAAAGTAATTAGGAGCTGACAAGTTAGTTAACTAGAAAATTGGAAGATTACAAGCTAGTTATACTAATATGGTCTCTGTTCTTTTTAAGTAAATGGTTGCTGACTTAGTTTTAATAAAAAGATATCAAGCTAGCACAAAGTAAGATTGTAAGTTGTACTTACTTTGTTTGATTTTTTAGGCATGTCCCACTTCTTAAGACATATATCAGAATCATGGCCCGACGGTTCAATTAATTTGGCTTCAATAGGTGTCTTATGATTTCCGGTTCTTGTGTTGAGCAAGTCCTTCTCTTCTTGCGTGAGGAATCCATTATCGATTTGACATAACGGCAAAGATAGACGCCCATGTGTATGGCTAAGGTCTGTACGGTATAATGGCTTTTCAATCACAAAATTCAATTCAGTACCATTCAGTCTTTCGATGTAATTCTTGAATTTAGCCGGCAATTCTGGTGGAACTACAGTCACCTTTTCAATCATCCTCCTCTTCTTTGCCGTGCCCTTTTCTTCATCATCACTGTAATCTCCATCATCGTGTGGCTGTTTTGAACAAACTTTCTCAGATTTCTGAACCATCTTCTTGATTTCATCCCCATAATCTCTATCAACTGAGAATCTTGCAGGCTTCGATACAAAGGACTGGTCAGGCGGCTTCAATTTCCATCGAATTTTGGTAGGCTTCTTTGTCATTGTTGCCTCAACCTCAGATATCTGATCAACTGGGACTATAACAGAACTTATATTCTTGCAGCGCTTGATGTTCTCTCTCATTGATCTTTTCCCCTTTGGGATTATAACAGATTTTCGAAATGGTGATCTTTCTCCATCATCATCATCATCATCAACATCAATAACAACAGAACATGAAGAAACAACACCATTCTTCTTCGAGCCCTCTCTGTCGACAGAGACAGAGACAGAGTGAGTATGATCATCATCGTCGTCGTCATCAGAAAGTGGCTTATGGGTTGAGTTGTGTAACTCAGACATAATGAGCCCATATAAATCAACATTACTGTTCCTGACGAACTTCCCTAAGACCTTCAATTTCGTGTCGTTGTCGAGTTCGAAAAGACATTTTCTTGAACGCTCTACTTTCTGATGGTATTTAGCCCAATCAGACGAATTACCAACCTCCACCATCAACATACTCATGACAGCTCAAATTTGTGGGTTGGAATAGTTATGGTTATGGTTATGGATGTGTATATATATATATATATAGAGATTTCCTAAACTGGGCCGATCAAAAAAAATATAGATTTTTTAAACTGGCTTGAACTGAAGCTTCCAAAATCAGATCTTGGAGATTCTAATAGCTGCCAAAATCAGATTTTGAACTGAAGCTTCCAAAATCAGCCATCCCTCCAAAACGACGTCGTTTTGTATTTGTATTTTTTAATTTTTTTTTGCCCTTCCTTATTTTTTTTATTTTTTAATTTTTTTTTTCTGCGTTCCCCTTTTCGTTTTTGAACCCTAGCCACTGAGACAGACGAACACAGAGGAGAGAGAGAGAGGCGATGGAGAGGCAACGGAGTTACGGCGAGGAGAGGCGGCGGTGAGGCGACTGGAGTTGAATTGCTTGGTTTTGTTTTGATGTCAGAAAACCCGTTGTTGTTTGCTGTTAAGTTGCCTTAGTTGATGGCATATGTAAACATTGAAGAGGAGACGTTGTTCCACTTGCAGCAGAAATTACTTGACTTTCTCAAGTATATACTCTCTCCTTCACATTATACTGAATGCTCTTAAGAAAATTTAATGTTCTGAGTTCTGGAAATTAATAATAATAATAATAATAATAATAATTTTGTTGCTCTGTCTTTTTCTATTGTTGATGATGCTGTTGTTTGTTGCCATGAATTATCTTGTTTCTTTAATCTAAAAGAAAGCATTAAACATTATATATTAGGCAAAGTGACTTTGCTGCATCCAGAAGAAACTTCAGTATGAGAGCATTGTATACAAATTTGTCGTTTACAAAGCAATTCATAGGTTTTAAAGTGAACTTGATCTGAAAAGAGAGCTATGGAATTGAAGTTGGATAGCTAAAGTATAATTTTCACTCTCATTCTATGTTCATAGGAAGATGATTAGTAAAACTATTCATTTAAGCTATGTTTGGATCTTGGATTTGTCAAGGAGAAGAAAATAAATGGGAAATGGAATTACTTGAACATTTATTTTTTATGGGTAATTAAACCAAAAAAAAAAGAAAAAGAAAGTATGATTTTTTATTAGTAAGTCTAATGTATACTCATTTTCCTCACCCAACCAGAAAATAGGGAGAATTTAGCTTCTTTGACTTGATTTTCTTATGTATACAGAATGAACCAATACCACAAGTTCCTGCCTTTTCCTACTAATAGCCACTTGTAAATATTCATTGTTTTCGGGTTGACTGCTTGAAGATGTGAACTTATGTGCTTAATGAACTACAAATCGATGATGTTATTGGGTTAAATGGGCTTGAATTGTTTGTGTTTGTCATCTCAAAAAAAGAAAAAAAGAAGTCATTTCTATTTTCTTGAGTCTACAAATTGGTGAGTTTGACAGTAATGCATCTAAAGGAAAACTTATATTCATAATATACATATGGAAGTGGGTAGTTTCATTTAAATATTTCGTAATGCTTAACAAAGCTCTTTGCGATTATGCAGGTTTCTGCAGAGGAATTAGGGCACTTTCTTCCTTTCTGCTTATGACGCCTCTAAAGTTTCTGAAGGGAGTGGCAAGGGGAAAGATAATTGAGCAGCAACTTCTGTTCCACCAACAATGCGATCATACTTGCTACTGTCTGAAGGCAAAAGCATTTTGTAGAATTGCTTGACGGTGCTGCTGGCTTGTCTAATTCTGTTTTGATGATCCAACAAGATAAATACTTCATTTGTTGTTGTAACATTATTGCTTTATAATTTGTTTTAGTTGACATTGATTCATCGCTTTATAGAATGAAGAGAGCTACTTGGTGTATTAGCTAAGTGTTCTATACTTGTTTGTAAACATTTGGTGAGTTGTTTGTCATGTGTCCAATACATCATGAAGAAAAATTATCCAAACAGAAGGTTAACAAAATGCTTCAACTTGCAATGTTTTGATTGTTGAAATTGAATCACAGAATCAACATGAGATTGATTGGAGGTAGAATGCATGGATTGGAAGTATAATTTACCTTATATTTAATTAAGTTGAGTTGAGTGACGATTTGTGATCCTGATGCAAGAAATGAGACGATTTGGGAGTGAGGCCTGCACCATCTGTAATTCTAATTCTTTATAATAGAATAAAACTAGAGATTTATTTTCTATATTATATTCACAATGAGAGCAAGGACTGTTTAATAGAAAATGAAGTATTTGTATAGGACTGTTTATAATTTGGAAGAGTTCATGCTAAGATAATAGACAGACTAATTTCTCTGTGTCTGATAATAGGTTATTTTTGTATTAAGTATCAATAATCATATAATCAAATCATATGAAAACTTCAACTTGTTGTATCTTATTTAATCGAACAGCTGATTCATTTCTATAATAAATCAATTAACTGTAACTTTAATAATTGATAAAATGTTTTTTATTGCACAAACTCTCTTCAATACATGACCCAAAAAAGCATCATACTATTTCAAATCAATCTGAGTTGAGACATGGAACAACATAACCAAACCTTTCATCATCAAGCAAAACTCAAAAAACAAAAACCCATACTCAACTTACTTTCGCATTATTATTTCAGGTCTCATAACATAAAAAAGATCAGATAACCCCATAAGAACTAAGAGAGGGGAAAAAAAAAAGGTAGAATTTATTCACATTTTTCCTTCTCCAAAGAGTGTTGGAAACTCGATTTTGTTGGCATTTACCAAAGCAAAAGTGAATAGAAAGTGTGAAGCTGCCAAGGTTTCATGACCACAAAGTTTAACTTGCAAGCAGACATGAAAAATTTAGTGTCCAGATTAAATTACTCACTACCATGGACTTAGCTATTGAAACACAATCCTCAATTACCACACTATTATATATTGAGCATTAAACTAAAAATTAAAAAAATTACACAAGATTGAGGGTAGAAAATTAAAGCTAGTTTGCAAAATCACATGAATGCTCATTGATGGAAAACAAAAAAAAAAAAGAATTATGAGAGCAAAACTGATTTTTTTTTTTAATGGAAAACAGATTTATAACATGATGCGAAACAGCCAACATTTTGCATGCACCATGATTCCATCTAGGGTTTTCGAAAGTTTTGATCATTTGATAACTCTCTACCTCATTTTTTGCTTTTACTATTACAAATCAAAACAAATTTTTGCTTCAAATTGACCAAACCAGAACAGATTTTTGGAGACCATTTCATCATTCACTTGCTAAAATGCAAAGCTTTGAAGACCATTTTCAGGAGAGAAAAAAATCATAAAGACAAATTGAACTGGTAATAGAAAATTTGACCATCTATCTATACACAGTCGTGGTTGAATTATGGAGTCCAATGATAGTTTAGACTCCCCCTTCACCCTCCAAAAATAAGCAATAGAAAAACTTTGGGATGAGAAAACATATTGAAAGCTCAAAAAAAGCTATGAATTGGATTTAACAGTAACAATTGGCTGACTCAAAGGAGGATTAGGCCAGTTCAACATAACTGACAAACAAATCAAATGCAAAAACTATAAATCAGTTTATCATCAAACAAATCTAACCCAAGAATCAAACCACAAACCATGGTAAGAAATCAAACAATAAATCAATAAATTAGTTTATCATCTACAAATCTAACCCAATAATCATATATATATATACAAAATTATCATCAACACAAATCCATTTAACATAAATCAGTTTATCATCAAACAAATCTAACCCAAGAATCAAACCATGGTAAGAGGTAAGAAATCAAACAATAAATCAGTAAATTAGTTTATCATCGACAAATCTAACCCAATAATCCTATATATATATACAAAATTATCATCAACACAAACCCATTATATGATTTCATATCAATCAAATAGACTATATTTTTATATTAATTTTTTTGAGGGTCATTAAATGAGACATTTTTAAGGCTCACCCTTATATAAAATGAGATCTAAATTTTTGAAAATATGGAATTGAGTTTGGGGGACCATTTCAAATGATTCCATTTTTTTTTTTTTTTTGTAAATACATGCATATAAAAATAAAATTTTGCAAAAAAATTTTTTGGAGGAAATAAAACCGCCCCTCCCCTCTTGATTAAGAGATCAATAAATAGTCATTCTATTCTTGCCTAAAATCATTTCAGCAAACCAAACACTACTTAAAAACCTTTCTTGGAGGGAATTAATTGAGAAAAGAATTAGTCATACATATGAGTCCTATTCATTCAATATAGAGAGAACCTTGCAAAGTTGCAATATGTAGCCATGGACTCATCAGTAGAATCTCTGGTTCAATAGGAAACACCTATTCTCTTATTATACAAACAAGAAACGCTATACTATTGCAAGTTTTTTTTTCTTTTCTTTTCTTTTCTATTTTCAAATTAGTTGTGCTTTTTAGTTAAGTTAATTAACCACACACATGTTAGACCGAAGTTGGATTTTTAGACTTTATTTTATTTTATTTTTAATCTTGTGAGATCAGGGGTGCTAAGCAAATTTGCCAATGAATATGATTATTTTCAACTTGCCTCCAAGAGTGAACTCTAGCTTTTACATCGTTCTCTCAATTGTCTTGATAATACTGCTTTATCCCTCTTATTTGAGTGAGCAAGTACTCATTTCTCTCCATACAAAAGAAAGTATATATAAAAAGATCAAATATTAACTATTGTAATGCCAACGCCCTTCACAAGAAAACAAAAGAGTATTTTCTTCACAAATAAAATGTATAAAATTTCAACCTTCAAAGGCATCCAATCTAGCTACTTGACTTCTTCTCTACTCTCAATTGTTCTCGACCAATTCGTACCTTTTCTTCTCCTTCCTCATCTTCAGCTCTGTGTAACGTAATGAGTAATCAATACAAATAACAATCTCATTAAGGCAAAACAACATATATTGACAAAGCCTAAGTTCTCTTTCTCATTTAAAATACTTACCGTATCTGGATTTGAAACCAAAATTGAATATGGGCTTCCCCATGGAGCTACATTAGCACTACAGTTCCGTCTCTTTTCATGAATTTTTCTTGTCATACCCGAATTCTGTGGTTGAACAAGATCTTCTTCAAGTTTTGGAGATTGCATTTTCAATAGATATCTACACCTTGGCCTATAAAAACTGCAATTCATTTGAAAATGAGCAAAAACCCTAGTTATCAATCCCACAATGCCAATTTTGACAAAAATTCAAGCCTATTTGAACTAAGATTATGAGTATTCATACCCGGCTTCTGCCAAAAGGATATCTCTCTTTTGCTTTGAAGTCTGCAATTTTCTTTTTTATTTTTATTTTATACAAATTCGTATATATGATCAAAACCAATGGTACATGACCACAAATAATGGGATATTCAAGAACATAATGGAGTGATATAGACATCAAACAATAGAAAACAAGGTTCAAATTCAATAAGCAAATTCTTCCATACTGAAATTTTACTGCACATTGACTGAAATCTATCCATATGGGTTGAACAAGGGACAAGATATCATTTACACTAATACTATTTTTATGTTACACTCCAGAACCTGAAGGACATGTATATACAATATGTGACTATTCACAATCCTTGTGGACAACAGTTAGGAGAACTTAAAAAGCACCTCAAATATTTCGGACCACAGACCTTGGAACCTTTTGAAGCATGGCAGTAGCAATCTCACCACCAACATTGCAAGCATGACTAGGCCCACACTATCACAACTAAAATGATCAAGTACTATCAAGCCAAACATTCCTGGAAAAAAAAAAAAAAACAAGTGTAAGAAAAATTAAGTGAAAGGTTACCAACTAAAAATTAATACACAACCAATGTCAAAAATCTAAAATTCAAAAAGGTAGTAGAAAAGCCAGTGATGAATATTGGGGATATGCTAGAAAGAAATCCAAAGGATTGATAACTTGCGTGCCTCGAGTACTAGTATCAGAAATTAGGACAATGAAAAGCTGAGGAGTAACCCCAAAAAATTCAAAATTAATTAGGAAGCTGTGCAAATGTCCCAGTGTTGGGGCTGCAGCCCCCAGCCATCATCTTCTCATAGACTGCATATCCTCGAATGAGAGCATTATATGTGAAAACATTAGGTTCAAGGCCCTTAAGTAGGTGTTCTTCATACATTTTCCCAGCTTCCTTGATCATTCCAGCAATCCCAAGATTGAGAATTAAGGAATTGTAGGTATAAAGGTTAGAAATAATCCCTCTACTCTGCATCTTATTGAAAAGAGAGAGAGCTTCTTCTATTCTTCTTGATCTCCCAAGACCATTAATCATAAGGTTGTAAGAAATTAAATCAGGATCAATGCCAGTCGACTTTAATTCCTCAAAGTAGTGCACAATATCATCCACTTTCCCCACCAAGCACAGGCAATCTACGAGAATGGTGTATGACTTCAGATCTAGTCTTATTCCCTCTTTAACCATTCTATTAAACAACTCACAAGTAGTTTCCACATCCCCTCATTTGCCAAATCCATTTATAAGAATATTGTAAATAGTGCAGTTTGGTTTACATCCGTAATTCACCATCTCATCAAAGAAACTCCTCGCTTCATCCAAATTTCCTAGCTTTAAGAGACCATATATGAGAGGACCATATGTACAAGGAGTGGGATTGAAATCT